GAGGGAAGGTAGGGTAGAAAGAGGGAACCGATTACAAGGAGCTCCATATAACCTCCTCCCTGGGGGACAGACAACAGAAAAGTGGGTGAAGGGAGATGTTTGACAGTGTAAGATATGACAAAACAATAATTTATAAATTGTCAAGGGTTCATGAGAAAGGGGGGCGTGGGGAGGGAGGGGGAAAATGAGGGGCTGATATCAAGGGCTCAAGTAGAAAGAAAATGTTTTGAGAATGATGATGGCAACAAATATACAAATATGCTTAACACAATGGACATATGTATGGATTGTGATAAGAATTGTATGAGCCCCCAATAAAATGATTTAAAAAACAAAAATCGGAATGGTAAAGATCAATTAGTTCCTGCCATTATAGCACTGTTCCACGCTCAGCCACCTCAATTTAACATATATACCTACAAGGGTACTCAGTAAACCTTAATGGAAATTCACAATCAGAGAGGATAGCGGGTTTTGGAGACTGGGACATGTCTTTCTCAAATAAGGTGATTTCACTTCCGTTGATGGGTAAACAAGGAGGGGCAACCTGCCATTGGGAAAAAATGCCTAACATTACTTACATGACCCCTTAATTATGTTCCTAATTGGGTACTTTTGACCTAGTTTCTATCCAGCCCCTGGTGATCCAGGCCATGTGCTATGGATAATCAGGACTTTGGATTCTGTCCTTTTGAAGTGCACAACATCCTTCATAGACCACTCCAAGAAGGCTCTGATTTGGAAACCCCACCAAACAACCAGATTTTACCTTAAACACGCTTGTAGCAGATTAAAGGAACTGAAAAACTCTCTTGGATCTAGGGCTGAAATGCCCTGGTGTTTGAAAAGGGAGAGGACTACTATCCCAAGGTTGTGGATTTGGAAGTAATTGGACTTTGGTTCAAATCTCTAGCTTTGAGGGGGCCCAAGGGCAATTTAAGACCACCATATATTTGCTATTTCCATACCCTTTGTGCTTTTCATGACATTTCTTAGTCCAGTAGGCATAGTTCTACCTATATGAATGAGTGTTATTGAAAGTTTTATCCTTTCTCCAGCTCACATTTGTGTAAACAGTATCTAGTTACTTAAGTTTTTAACCAGTACAAGTCAACAATCCATGTATTTAATCTATTCTAAAAAGCTGTCCCGTATGTATACGCTTTTCTTAACACTGGCTGAATTAATACTAACAATAGAATTACCATATGCCCTATGGGGATGATTTATAATGTTCTCCAATGAAACGATAATGCTGTCTCTAAATTGAGCCAG